ATTGAGAAAATAAAATAACTTTAATATATACATTTCATTAATTGTTTGGTTTCAAAATAACATTGATCTATAGTTGAAATTATATATTCTGGTTAGCTTATTTATTATTACTTTCCATTCCCTTTAAACTCATAGACAGTTAAAGATGAAGGGAGTTTAGATATCATGTAGTCTAACACTCTCATTTTGTAAATGAAGAAACTGAAGCTCATGATCACACAGCAAGATGGTAGCAGAACCCACACTATAAACCAGATTACCAGAATCTCTGCCATGATTTATAATCCATGTATCTGAAAATATGCATTGAGAGGTTTCACTTCACACTAGCTGGCAATGATCAAAGACAGAAATGGTAAGAGAGGGATAGTAGAAAGACAGGCATACTGTGGCAGTGTTAGTAGGGCTGTGAATTGGTGCAACCATTCTAAGGAAAAAATAGAATTGTGTCAGAAAAGTGAATAAACTATCCACCTAGTGGTCTCACTGGAGGGCATATACTCAAAGGAGGTCAAAGATAAACAGGAAGCAAGTTCCCAGATATACAGAAATATTCACAGCTGTATATTTTCTAGCAGCAAATAACTGAAAACAAAATGGATGTCTAATGATTAGTGGATGGCTGAACAAATTACAGTATATTAATTTAATGGGATACTTATTATAGCATAAGAATTTATGAATATAAGGAATTTAGAGAAAGATGAAAAGATTTGTGTGAATGGATGCCAAGTGAAGAAAGTAGAAACAGGAGAATATGTGCAATGACTGCAATGTGTAATTAGCAGTTCTAGGTCCAAGAGCATTCTTCACCAAAATCAGGAGTGGCAAGCAGCAACAACTGGTCCTTCAAGTCAACTTTTTAATAAAAAATCAATTAGAGGTAGAAAGAGAACCTAGCAAATTATCCCATAGAGAAGAGATAGGGTCCAAGACACTTTGAGGATATTTCTAGGGAAGCTACTTCTAGTGGAAGGGAATAGGGTAGGGCTTTGGAGGGGAGTGCAGATTGCATTGTAGGGGAAAACAGGTAGCAGCCCATCATCTGGTAGTTTTCTATTTTAATTGTTAACTAGGTGCTAAACTCAGCTATTTCTTGACTGCTGAAAGACTGTACACTCTAAATTTAAATGACCTGGCAAAAAGTCCCCACATCCCATCCTAGTTACAGACCCGTGTAGTTGAAATAATAAAAGGCAGCTGGACTCAGATTAAAAGCAATGACCAATATTCCAGAAGACAAACATAACTAGGGAGTGGGAGGAGACAATGGGTGTAATGCTACAGACTCATCAGACCTGTAAGAGGAAATCACTGGTGTTGATTTGGCTTTGCTCAACTGTTTTCTTTGTTACCAAGGAGAATTCTATGAGAAGGAAGTTTATTGGAAAGTAGCAGTGGTGTGAAGAATAAAAGGTATCAATGAAGCTTTAGAAATAAATAAAAGAAGGAATAAAAGAAAAATTATTTGCTTTGCAAGGGGACATTATTATCTAGATTCTTCAATTTCAGAAAATAAATTCAGAATTGTGGTTCAAAATACAAATGATGGGGTGGGAGGGTTTAAATAAATAAGATAGTTATAAAGAAAGGCAAGGAAGTAAAATGTCTCCTAATGTTTATTAAGCTCATAGTTCAAGAAAATAAGGGGCTACTTTTCTGAAATGGAATTGAATCTCAAGTTCCTTTCTACCTTTAAGCATGTGCTATGTATAACATTTCTGAAAGTACACAGAAATATTTAGCAAAGAGATACCTTAATTCTGCTGTAGCTCTTTATGTCTGGGTAATGTTTAAGATCTAGACTATAATTTGATATTTGCTTTTTAGAAGGTAATAATTTTGAAGTTGCTAGTACTGGCTTTTCAGTATTTGTGTAGACAATGGATGTTAAGAAATATCTAGCCTGAATAAAGAGATTGAGCATACTATTGTTAAAAAAAAATGTGTTTCATTAGGGTAATGGCTATTTAGATCAGAGCAAGTGATTGACCATTTTTGGAGTGTCCTGTGGAGTTAGTACTGTCAGAAATCAATTGTAGCTACTTTATGTAGTTAATCTTATTGAAAGTCCCCAATCAAAACCAATATTCAAGAAAGTGGAGCCCTGGAGTGATCACAGCCAGGCCCAGTTGATGACTTTTCTCAGACCAGATACTGTGGCACTGAAGATATGATTTCTTTGTAAGAAAAAGAGAAGCAAATCAATGGATTTCAGAAGCCCAAATTTATAATACTACATACCACCAGTAATGCATGGAGCCAGTCCCAGCCAAGTATCTTTTGACTCTGTAAACTAGAATGAAACAGGTCACATTGGCCAAGTAGTTACTGATCTGAGAACAAACATTAACCTGGAGGTGGTTGGGGCTAGGGGAGTTGTCTTTGTATAGGAGTGGCAGAGAAGTGACATCTGGAAGGGAAGGTGAAGGCAAGATCTTTTTCAAAATTCCTTTGGGTTTCTTGTTGTTGCTGTTATTACTTTTTTGGAATTTTTTTCTGGAAATATATTTAAAATCTCCCATTTAACTTTTTTTCTATCATTTTTCCCACAACAAGAGACTGTACAGAAGCAAGAGGCCAAAGCAAAAGGCTTAATGAAGCATGAAGGCGAGGGGAGGGGGGAAAGAGAAGGAAGTGTGAAGGCAGGGCTAAATAGGGGGGAGGTGGGTTGGCTGTTCAGACTCATACATTCACAAATCTGCTAATGTGTTGGAAAGTGTATTGTAGTACATTTTCAATATCGATAAAAAAAACCTTTTCTACTCTGACTCCTATTGGTATGGAGAGAGTCAGACTCATGTAAAGGTTCTCATAAGGCCCATAAGAGAGGAATAAACGAGCTGTTAAAGAAGCTTCCGATCATATCTAAGAGGCTGAGGTTGCCGGGGACTGCTCTGGTCCTTTACACTACTTCCTTAGCTTAAAAACACTCCAGGCCCTTCATACCCCCAGCTAGAAAGGAGCCCTTCACGTCAAGGCTAAGTCCAGGCTTGCCAATTCTAGTCTGATTAGGGTTTTCTCAGCCTTTTCCCATCGCCCAAACTGAGAGGGAAAAGCTTTGCTGCTAAGCAACCGCACGACTCCCAGGAGCTCGAGGAATAGAAGCTTTCCCTATGGTTCACAGATCTGACACTCAAACATTCAGATCTGCTCTATAATTAGCCCCTGATAGGGCTAAGTCCACCTGCTCAGTAGTGTCGGTAACTCTCTACTGTAAACGACTTCAGGAACACCTGATGTCTCCAAAACACAGTTCTCTTTCCTCTTCAATATAACTACAGTTTTGTTTTGGTTTTGCTTTCTTATTTGGAACCATTGATACATGTACAGACTTTTTTAAAAAAATCCTACTACAAACTTCAGGCCTCCTCTAGAGACTCTGGGCACCTAGCTAATCTGGCACCAGCCCATCTCAATTCCAAAAAACCAAAACTTGGTATGGAAGCAGGAAAAATGGGAAGTGAAAAGGTGAAAAGAATATGAAGTGAGAAGATGAAAATATTAGAAAACACCAGCATTCTCTAGGAAAAGCTGACAAAGGAAAGTTGAACAATAGTGAACATTTTCAGTACTAAAACTGTGATCAACTAAGCCTCTGCTGGCGGGTCAGGCCCGGCATACCAACTAAGTCAGACTAATTCACCAACAGTGAGTGCTCCACGGGTTCCCAGAAAAGGGCCTCATGAATGAGAAGCCGTTGCTAGGTTTCCTTCCTCCTTTCATTCATTTTCTCCTCCTCCTCAATTCCCCTCAAGACTTTTAAAACCAAAAGAAACAGCCCAAAGACCTCTAGCTTTGCCGAATTTGCAGACAAGGATACACACACACAGTCCTAGGATGAGCCTGTACCGTCGAAGGTTTCAGAACCCTGGAGAGCGGCAATGGCTCCTTAACGTTTGACCTACGTAGCCCCAGGGCTTTTGGCACCCTGCTATCCTACAGTTAAAGGGTAAGCCATGGGCACACCAGCCACTCTTTCCTTTCTACTCCATATCCCCTCCATTTCACGTTTGTTTACCAATGGCCTTGGACATAGACAACCTTAGTTTAATTCCTGGTTCCTTCATTTCGTTTCTAAATAGACTAGATGGTTCCTTTCAGCTCTCCTTTCGCTTTTCGCCTTCATTTTGCCAGACAGGGTCAGGTTGGGCTGAATCTCCTGGTCTACAAGCTATATTTTCACCAACAGTTCCCACAGTTTATTAGCCAAAGGAAAACACATTCAGTTGTTTGGGGGTTTGGGGGGGGGGGAATCTGTTTATATGTGCAGATGGTTTGTTTTAAATTTCTATAGATATGGATAGCCTGGCTTTCCGGAGTCTTCTAAATAAAATACTTCCTCACGTCAAGGCCCTCCTCCGGGTTGCCTAAGAAAGCAGCAAACAGTGACCAGCAAACAGATTCAAATATGTTCAGGGCATGCCAGGGTGAGGAGAGTCCTATTTTGTTTGTGCAGGATTTTTAGCTACAGTCCCAGCTGCAAAGGCGAGTTCAGACTTCAATAATCAGGTCTCTTTTCTGTATATTACCACAAAAGCAGAGCCAGGAAACCCTTTGGTTGCCAAGACTAGTCTGAGATTGGTCTTTGTTAACTCCAGCAGAGTTATTATCATGGGAGTGTTTCCTAGATGTCTATTCCTTTGAAACCAGGTTGACCATTGCCAAGGCACCCTAAGGGTCATATATTCAGCTTAGGGAAGAGGTTGAACAAACAACTGTATGTTCTCCGATCCTCAAGAACTGAGTTTTGAACATGCTTGTAGAAACACCGGAAAACTGAAAAAGGATAGAAAGGATTAAAAAAACAACAGTAACATAATGTTGGCTTTGCCCTTTTATCCTCCTCAGGGAAAGAAAAACTACAGCCTTATTGGGAAAGGAAATCTCTGGCTGCAAGCTGGCTTGACTGTGACTGGAACCAATAGTAATGGTGTATTTGTTTTGTTGTTTTCTTTCCTCTTTCCCATCCCCACTCCCATTGCCCTCTCTCTGCACAGCCGCCTCCAGACCTCTCTGCTGCCCCGAAAGCTGCCAGACTCCTTTTTAGCCTGCTCTCTGGCTTCTCTCGCTTCTTCTCTCATCTTCTTCAGCAACCCCCTCTTCAGGCTCACAGGCATCGTCCTGACTTTCCCCCTCTGCTTCCTGCTTTGCCAGCTGCCGCCCTCACTCGCTGCTGCCCAGTTTCTGCAGGGCCACTTCTCTCCTGGGGGGAGGCAGCAACTCCAGGTCGTTTCAGAGTCTTGCTCTGGACAGCCCTGGCTCTGCCCATCCGCAAATCTTGGGAGAGTCAGTCAAGCCCTACATGGAAAGACGCCCGTCTCGGGAAAGAGGATGGGACTACTTGGCAAACCTCATCCATCCCTGTGAGTACGCTCTTCTCAACTAAGTTCCTTTACTATTACCAAAAGATCTTAGCCTAATCTCACTCCCAGACCGCACCGACGCCAGTCTACAATTGCCCAACCCAACCTCAATTTTTCAAAACCTTCGCTACTTTCCACATCTACAGTAAGAGGAGGAAATCAACAGAAAGAACAGCGGGAACATTTGGGGATACTAGGACTAACCATGGCCCGGCTTACTTAATAATTGATGGATAGAAACGTCTCCAACATCTCTATTTTCCCATGGACAGATTCAAGGCTATTTTCCCTTGTGCATTTCCTATCTTTAGTTCTCCTCAAAAGCTTCCAGTCACCATTGCTATTCCTACGATCTGTTTTTAAAGTTCCTTCTCCTCCTCCTTCTCCTCCTCCTTCTCCTCCTCCTACTTCTTCTTTTTCTTCTTTTTCTTCTCCTCCTCCTTTTTCTTCTTCTCCTCCTCCTCCTCCTCCTCCTCCACCTCCTCCTCTTCCTTCTTCTCCTCCTCCTCCTCCTCTTCTTTCTCCTCCTTCTCCTCCTCCCTCTCTCATCTTTTCTGCCTCCCGCTTTTCCCATCCTTAGTTTCCCTATCTGTCTATCATCAGGGGTCCCGAGAAATGGGAGGAAATGACGTGATGTTATTCATATGTCAGGTCAGTTTACAGCTTCAGAGAAAATATTATTTAGTCCTTCTAGGTCCGACACAAAGCCCCCAAGCGCACGCAGCTACTGATTTCCAAGTGTAAACTCTCTCAATTGGAAGATGCCTCATTTCCTTGCCAGCTCCTTTACTGTTTCCTTTGCCGAACCAGTGTTGTTTCTGCAGGTGTGAGTGGGGAAAAGAGTTTTCCTTATAACCTCAGGATCAGTGTTTCTTCCAAACCGGTACTCCAGTTCTCTGTGTGTCTCAGGAAATGATGAGAAAAGTCTTTTCTCGATGAGATCTCTCTGGGTCTGGTTTCTAGGGTTAGACACAAAGGGCGGGTAAGTGTTAGCCTTTCTTCCTGACCTGGGTTGGAAGAGCAGGCTCAGCTCGATTCTATAAGAAAAGAGGTGGCAATGATTAAAGGCAGGAGCGGGGGGCATCAGGACAGGGCAATATGTCCCTGAACTGAGGAAGACGTAGAATGTAGCCCTTCAGACAGAAGTGCATCCTGGAATTTTTTTTTTTTTTTAATGTAGCTAAAAAAAAAAGAATCTAAACACGTAGAGCCTGCGACCCGACTCCGCTCCAACCCACACTCCACACCCCAGTAATTCACTTACCACACTTAACATAAGCACAGTCCCACATATTCTTGCATACACACACACGCGCGCGCGCGCACACGCACACATAGAATGCTTTGTCCCACCCACCCACCCCATTCCTCCCTCACAGATGTGACTCTACGAACTCCATCAGTACATAGCCTGTCGTTCGAGTAAACACTTCCAGTATTTCATAATCCAAAGAGCTTTGGGTGAAGCATGAGTCGGGGAGGAGAGAAAGAACAACACAAGACAACTCTAAGCACCTCCGCTCTTTTTCCTTCGACTTGTCAAATTACAGCTGTGCTCAGCTTCCGCAGGGGGAAATGATGCTGCTGTCCAGGGACTGGGTGAGGAAGGGAGCTGTTGTTACCCGCTGTCTTTTCCGAGGGGATACTTTTATTCAGTTTCCCTGGTGTTCACGGTTCGCTTCTCATTTACTCCAATCTAACCCACGCCTCCTCCCTGTTTTATGCTGCCTCCCGTTGCCGCTGCCTCTGTGTTTGCCTCTCGCTCCCCACCCCAGCAGCAGCAGCAGCAGCAGCAGCAGGAGAGGCTGGAAGCAGAGCCTGGGAAGCCCAGATAGCTGGCAGAGGAGTAGGATTAACTGCAGCGAGGACCTTTATTTATTTTTGTTTGTAGTCAGAAAGGAAGGGAGTAGAGAGTAGGAGTAAAGAGGTGTGGGCGGGAGGAGGCAATGGAGTGAGTGGGACAGCCACTATAGTAAGAATAACAATCATCAATATTAAAAAAAAATAAAAAATAGAAAAGCTGGGGGACGCATGCGCATGGCTGGCGAGCCGCCGTCCCTGGGTGAGGAGCCCGCGGCTAACCGATCCGATCAAGGCAAAGATTTCCATCTGTCTCCCAGTACTGATGGTGAAATTGTAAGTACCGATAGCTTCTCTCCCCCGATCCTTTGCCCCGCCACCGCCAAACACCCCAGCTTCCCTTCCTTTCCCTCCCTAAAGTTGCGGAACAAAGTGGACTACCTTCGGGGTGGGGAAGTTCTCGAGCCGACACTGGGCGGAGGCGGGGGTTAGGGGTCCTCAGCTTTATTTTCTCTGTTGGGTGCATGAGGAGAGAAGCTTCTTGCCGCTTCTCTTTGTAGAATACAGCCCCTTTTTTCCCGCAAGGAAGGCACTTTTTTTTTCCCCAAAAAGAGGTGTACGGCGTCGAGGGGTCATTCTTTCCGTCCTTTACTTTCCTCCATTCATTTTTAAGTGCTTGGATTTGAGTTTTGTTTTTTTTTTTTAATGAGTTGAATGTCTATGGGGTGGGGGTGCGGTCATTAGATGGATTATTTGTGTGGGTCTACCTAGCGATTGCAGAATTAAACTGACTCTAGCTTAAATGGATTAATTACTAGGAAGGAGGTGGGATGGTGAGGGGAGCCGAATAGCTTTGCATTTAAACTGCAAAATGCGTTTTAACAAACTAAAGGACATTCCAGGAGCCTAGAAGGGGAGAAAATGATTCTCGAACTTGACAGTCAATGGGGGTGGGAGAGTTTAGGTGCAACTGTTAGTAAGGAAGACCAAAGCGACAACAACAACCACCCGAAGAATAAACTATGTCTCTTCTGGAGAAGAGGGAATTGGGGGTGCGGAGTGGAGGAGGAAAGGAGGAGGAAGCAGGTCGGAAAAGTGATGAAAGAAGTTAGATGCCTCTGATTTCAGGTATTCTGAGGAGGACGGGAGTCTTTACTGCATTTTCAGACAGCTGTACTTCAGGTCTCTAAGGAGTGAAAATCTAAGACATTAATAAACTGAGTCCTCCCAGACGTGTGGGATTGGGGAGTTTCGACAACCCTTCCTTGAACAAACCCGTGAATTATTAGCCTTCCACACCCCTCAGCTGAAAGATCGAGGAGCTACGAGCCGAACTAGAGGAAGTTTGTAACTGTAAGGTGCAGGAGCTGCGGGGAGACGGCAGCTAATGGTCTTGAGGCCACTGGCATGAGGGGAGGGGGAATAAGGGCTCCCACCTCCAAGGGGCAGAAGTGGAGTCTACAGTGCAGGAGCCTGTGGCCTCATTCTGCCCTAGGAAGAGTGCCTCCCCCTGCCACCCCAGAACCGTGTGAAAGAGACGAGTGAGCCCTGAGGACAGTAATCCCCAAGCTCTAGTGTTGGGGGTGGGGGTGGGGGTGGGAGGTGGGAGGAAGGGAAGACAGGCGATGAGTGGGTTTCCGGAATTTAGAAGAGAAAGGAGGCTGATCCAGAGACGTCCAGTAGGAAAGAATCTTCCACCAGGAAACCAGAGACAAAAGTGAAAGAGAGGGGGCGGCTAGCGTTCTAATATGAACCCTTTAACTGAAAGACAGGCAGCAGGGAAGATTATGGAAGGGGGTGGCGGGGGACGGTTGTTGAAGAGAGCGATCTCCTAGCGAGAGTTAGCTAGGCTTGAGGCAACTAGCTGTGCCACGAGAGTGGAGAAGGAGAAGTTGCTACAGAAACAGCTTAACAGCTTTCACTTTGGAAGAGTCAATGGGAAAATCCTCCCTCATTACTTTCCCTACTCAGCAAAGGGCAGAGGCAATACTCATTCTTCCCCTCCAGAGGTCACTTCGTGGGGCTTACTAATTGCAGCTGCCTTCCCCACCTGCTTCCAGGCAGCCTCAATTACTTGGTATCCTGAGGATTTCTCTCCTGAACTGATATGTGTACACTCTTTCTCACCCCTCACTGATCAGTGGGCAGAGGAATTATATTAGCAGTTATAGAGTATCTTTTTTTTTCACAAAAAAAAATTTACCTCAGCATCCCTGGCACTTAAAATGTCAAAGGTGGAGAGCTTCTTCCAGAGTTCATAGCAGTATTTTCAGTGGCTTTGTATTCTACTACCCAAGTATCCCACTTCCATATTGTATGTTAGCTTTGTCAGTTAAAGGCTGAAGATTTTATAGGCTCATACACTTTAACTGTGGGCTGCTAGGTGTCCCAATGCAGAAAGCTCCAGGCCTGGAGTCAGGAAGATCTTAGTTCAAATCTTGCCTTACACACTAGCTGTATGACCCTGAGCAAATCACTTAACCCTGTTTGCCTTAGTTTCCTCATCTGTAAAATAAGTGGGAGAAGGACACTCCAGTATCTTTGCCAAAGAAAGCCCAAAAAAGGGGCAAGGAAGAGAGGACACCACTGAAATAATGATTAAACAACATCTTAGAACTGGAAGGGACTTTGGAGGTCACTGTGTTCCACCCATTGCACTATATATGAAGCCCAGAGAGGTTAAGTGACTTGACCAAGGACACCCAACTATGAATTATCTGCGGCATAAATCAAACCCAGATCTCCCTTACTCTAAACCCAGAACTTTACCCACTACACCATGCAGTCCGGCAATCCTTTGAAAGCTTGGCAGTGTTGGTTGTGATAACGTATCTGATGGCTGTAAACTGAAAGGTACCAGACCTATGAGTGGCAATTTATGATTTTTATTAAAGTTATTTTTTTGCTCACACCCTAATTTATATCACTGCACTTCTGCTAATTTGTTGGCTGGCACAACGGGTTTGAAATCATGTTCTTGAAACAAGCCAATATCATGAAAATACTTTTCTCTGAAATAGAAAAAGAAGAGTTCTGCAATTTCCTTAGTGTAGGAGTATTCAGAGGGTTACACAGAAAGTATATATCAGAGGCAGAACCTGAACACGCCTTCTTGATTCTAGTACTCAATACCCAACTTGGGTAAAGAAGCACTCAATACCCACACTGAGAGAGAGAGGAAGGAAGTGTATGAAGCAGAC